CCTAACTATCTGTGAGATAAGAATCATTACCACCTCTGTTGAACAGATAAGAGAATTGATGCACAGACAGGCTTGCTAACTCACCCAAGGTCACAGGACTCATAATGCCAGGTGTTGAATTCAAGATGTTTGGTTCCTTAGCACCTGTTTTCTACTTGCTCATATTGACGAGACATTTAGTTGGGAACGTATGAGGTAGAGAAGCAGTCATGGCAGAAGATTCCTGTCCTAGCTGCCCAAACAGTGTAAAAATCTAATAATAGCAACTTACATTTGGAATCTAATGTGCTCTGTGAGCATTTTCTGGTGCTTATCTCACTAGCTCTGTTATAGGTGCTGAGGATTCAGCTGTGAATACAGCAAGATTTATAATGCAGTGTAAGGTACATACAGGAATAGGCCATCACAGCACACAATGGCATGTCCTCTTATGTGCAAGGAGGCACACAAGCCTGTGGAAATAAGAAGGGCCACCTGACCAGACTCAGAAAGCCTCTGATACTTTGTGCAAAACTTTCCCCTCCCTATGATGCTTGGGAGAAGGAAAAGTTGGTATGGAAGTATCTCAGAAAGACAAGACCTTCTCATCCACATGACTCTGGGAAGGCTCAGGAATGGCCTGACCACAGCACCATGTGGGCAGCTTCTCTTTAGAAGGTGGAGGGCTCCAGGGCCTCTATCCGATCTGCCCCAAGCTCAGTGCACACCCCTCTGACTGGGAGTCCCCACAACCACCAGCGAGCACTTTGCTTGATCCTGAGCATGCAGGACAAGTTATGCTCCCCCAAATCCCATATACGCTCTTGAATTTCCCAGCTCTGCTGCAGTTAGGTGGGACCACAAGACTACTTCTGGCCAATGGTCTATGAGCAGCAGTAATATGTATCATTTCTGAGACAAAGTGAGACCCTCCCCCCCAACACAGTGTTCTTTCTCTTGCTACATGACTAAAGTAGCTTCATGGTCCATATGCTGTAGGGTACAAACATGTGAAGCCTCCATCAGCCTGAGACTGAAAGAGAAGTAAACTTTTGATGTGTTAAGCCAACACTAAGGATATAGGGCCAACTGACTAGATCAAGGAGTCCCTCAACATCTGATGCAAATAACTCCACAAATGATGGTGTAGGAGGAAGAAATAATTACTGTCATTATCAGTAATACCAGTGAGGATAATAAGAACAACTGACCTTTGCAGAGCATAATTTTCAAGGCATTTCATGAGCATGATTAATTTAATTCCTGAAATGACAATGAGACTTCAGAGTCCTCAGACCCATTTTAGGGTGGTGAATAAGGGGTTTTACACCTCCCTTCAACAAGCTGTGACAATGTGTCTTAGTCTACTTTCTGTTGCTAATAGCAAAATACTTGAAATTGGGTAGCTTATAAGGAAAGAGATTTATTTTGGATCTTGTTTCTGAAGGTTGGGAAGTCTAAGAGCGTGGGGTAAGGGCCCCGTGCTGCTTCAATCCATGGTAGGTGGGTGTAGAAGAGACAAAGCATGAAGAGGTCTTCACTTTATAACAGCTCATCCGCAGTTAATGAATCCAGATCCACAGAGTGAGAGCTCACTCCATGAGAAAGGCCAGTCCCTCTAACTGGCCTAATCACCCCTTAAAGGTAATACCTCCCAACATTGCAACAAGTGCCATATTTAAACTTCAGCAAAATGGCTTCACCCGTTATCACTGTGGGTCACATGGTGCCTTTGGAAACGACTTTCTGAGGCAGAAAAAATAGAATTAGAAGTCACAAGTTCTACCCCAATATCTATTTCAGTTAGTTATCTAAGCCAGGTGGAATTACTAAGCCCCTTACTTTCCTTAGTACAAAAATCCCATTTCAGTGGTGCTTTTCCTGGTGGTTTTTCATTACATGAAATATTATGGGGTTTGTCCCTCAACATTGCACATATCAGAAACCATGTTCAAGTGCTATTTAGCTTACTTAACATACTCTTACTGCCTTTGAATCATAGCTTTTCACTCGGGTAACAAGGTGTAAACACAAGGTAATCTTTTTTGAAAAGCAATTTGTTATTATGGTTGCACATATAATTCATGTAAAACAATAGCCAGACATGGTGGCATATACCTGTAGACCCAGCTACTCAAAAGGCTAAGGTGGGAGGATCCCCTGAGCCCAAGATTTCCAGATCTGGGCAATACAGTGAGACCCTATCTCAAAAAGACAAAAGAAAAGGAGAAATAAAGAATTAAAGAAAGAAAAGGAAGGAAGGAAGGAAAGAAGAAAGAAAGCAATAAATAAAAGGAGGAACCTCTTGGTATCCACATCTTCATGTCTTTAATAAAAAATGCAAACGTTGGGTTGAGGGATTTGAATACTTTCAATGTTTTTTTACACTTATCAAATTACTCTTTTAGAAAAAGCACGTCTCTTTTGTAGCAATGTAGGAGAGTCCTCGATTTCTGCACCTCCATTTGCATGGCACATTGTGTCAGTTTAGGATTCAGGTATTTCAAAGGAGAGAATTTAATGTAGGGGATTGGTTTAATGGTCATTGCAGTACTGAACAAAACAAAAAGAGGACACTGAGATAACTCAGGGTAGCTTCAGAAAGCGCCTCCTAGGGCTGGGGCAACAAAAGATGGAGCTGGTATTATTGAAAACTGGGTTCCTGTGGGGCACAGTCCCACCTCCAGCCTTATGGAGCCCATCAGAGATAGACGTAGCTCTGACAGATAACAGCCTACTAACCAGATAGGCATCAATCACATAAGCAAGTTTTATTGATAATCTTTATCAATATCTTTTTTGGAGTTACTAGAGTTTGAATTTGTGGCCTTAAGCTTGTTGGGCTCTACTACTTGAGCCATGCCTCCATCCCTTTTTGCTTTAAGTTGTTTTTCAGATAAGGTCTCAATTTTTTGCCTGGGCTGGCTTTGAACTGCAAACCTCCTAATCTCTGCCTCCCTTGTAGATGGAGTTACAGGCATGACCCATAGCACCCAGCCTTGCTGATAATCTTGTCAATACAAATGACTCAAAGCAAATTGAATATAACATTGGTTAATGGTATGATGATTAATAGTTTTATAAAACATAGGTCTAATTTCAGATTGAACCAGAATGGCTTTAAAAACAAAGCTGACATTTATTTAAGGTGCTTCCACTGTGGCAAGCTCTCTGCCCAGCAAGGTAGATGGACTACCTCAGTCTCCCTTCTACAGAGGGAAAGTCTGAGGCTCAAATAAGTGAGGCATACCTGGTGAAGTCCACAGCTTCAAAGCAGTAGAGATGGAATCTTCCTGGCCAGTCTGACTTCAAAGCCTGTGCCCTCAGTCACATCTCTGTACTACTTCCCACTCCCCCACCCTTGCTGTTTAGGTGGCCTACCTTCCCATAAGTGGCTGGACCCTGGGAATGAACACAACCACAGACTCTGGGTAGAGTCTTTTGCTAAGACTGTATTCTATCATGACACTCAGCACTCCAGTAACCAAACACCTAACAGTGAGGTCAAAAGGGGTCACTTAACCCCAAATGGTGATCTCCAGGAAGTACTCATAGCATCCTGGAATCTCAAGGCTGCATTAAAAGCCCTTCCAGGTGTTTGAATCCCTTCTGAAATATTTCAATTAGCAGTTGATCAGAAAAGTGAGAACACTTTTCACAATCTCTACCATACCACCAGACAAAGCAGCTTTCTCTCTATTTTTCTGGCTATAGTTACTGAACAGTTCTTACTGGCAGAACACTGAAGCCCATTACTCTACAACTTCTGCCTGAAGATTTTTGATTTTGTAACTGATCAACACAAAGAGCTTGGTAGATGCTTGTAGGCTGCTGTCATGTGACTCCTCCTCTGGTGTGGTGGTTACAGGTAGCAAAAGTACCAAATAATATGTCACAGTGGGTGGGCAGAGCTCATATTTGTTATTGAGGAAAACATGTATAGAGGAGGTCTCCTTGGTGGTTAAGAGCACAGGTTTTAAAGTCAGACAAAATCTGGCTCAATCATTTCTTAGTTGAGACCATTTATTAATTCAGGTTGTTTGGACAAACAAGAGTGGCAGTGCCTTCCTGACAGTGTCATTGTGAGGACCCAATCATCAAAGGCTTGCAGGTGCTTGCCTTGGCCCCATGGTAGGTGTTTAGGGAATAAGATCTCTAAAATGTGTTGGTGAAAGACACAAATTTCATTTTGCATAGAAAGTTGTGAAAATATCTGTATGGAAGTCATTCCTATCTAAAGGTCTTCCCAGCTCATCCCAAAGATTTGGGGTTTTTGGTTGTTTTTAAGGTAGAGTCTTACTATATAGCCCAGGCAGGCCTTAAACTCATGATCCCCCTATCTCAGCTTCCTGAGTGCTGGGCTTTCAGGTGTGCACCACCATACTGGGCCCAAAGATCTATCTAAAATATATCTTGCTTTCTGCACAAACAGTCCGCTGAAAAAAACTAAGCTATATCACATTTGGAGTCAAGAGAACTGAATTCATAAAAAAGTAATAATTCTGAGTGAAAAAAAGGTGACACAAGAATGAGAAATGTAGCATTGCTATTTATGTAAACTCAGTACAACCACAGGCAACATGTAACAACCCACACAAAATACAGATATGATTACGTGCAAGAGGAAGATAATGCAAGAAGGCTGGGAGCTAAAAAGAGATCAATAAATAAAGGCCACTGAAGGGCCTCAACACAGAGAGAAATAAGTAATATGCAAACTGTAATGCTTCTCTACCTTCCTCCCAAGCTTATTATGCTGAGGAGCTGATGAGATTACGCATATGAAAACAAGTTAACTTACTATTTTCATTAAGATCTCCATATTGGAAGAAGAATCTGAACAGAGATAGAAATTCCTTTAGCAGGAAGCTGTTGCCAGGGCAGTGCCCATGAAGCCTTGCCCTGGCTTCAGAGTCTGCTGGTGAGATGACATCAGAGCCCTATGCACAGGGGTGGCAGGCTCCCCTCGCTTCTAAAGACACCACTCTATGGTATAGCTAGGGGCAGAGCAGACTCTTCCCATGGATCCCCTGCAAACAGTCCATTTGGGCCCTCGGAAGAAGAGACCCAGGCAGACGAGTGCCTTGGTAGCCTCCACTCCTCATGACATCAGATTTCAAGGCTTGGTCCTCTTCATTTTGGAGAAGAAAATGGGAACCACCCGCAGAGCCTTCCTCACGGAGCTGGCGCGCAAGAAGGGATTCAGGGTGGAAAATGAGCTCAGGTAGGACAGTGCTGGGTCACTTTGTGAACAAGCAGGGGCCTTGAGGACAGCCTCTTTGGAACCCAAGGAACCTGTGTTTTCTCCCAAATGTGGAAGAATTGCTGTTCCCACTGGAAGAGCAGCAGATCTGAAATCAAAGAACAAATTTGAATCAATTTGTTAAGGGAAAAGAGATAAGAGGTATGTCTTGAGGGGGGGTGGTGGAGGAAGAATGTAATTATATTGAAACTAGTTGGCACCAAAAGATAAGGTAAAAAAAATTCTCTTTTGCTTTTCACTTTTATGAGATGAGTTATTTATGAATGATAAACAGAAACTAGTCAGAAAATTTCATGCTGAAACTACTTAATTTCAATCTTGGCCAAATTGAATAAACTACCAATAAGTTCAATAAAAAAATGTCAGCTACTTTGGAACAGAAAGGATGGTTTGGTTGCTTGGTTCTTACTTAAACACTTGGCTGTGCTAAAGAGGCCAGTGTCTGTGATGGGCTAGGTTGAATGACTAGCTGGCTCACCACAGACATCCAAATGTGGCCTTGATCATGGTTTTTCAAAGAGCTGGCCAAGTGGGGTTCAAAGAGTGATGATGGTTAAAGATTCAAGGACAGCTTGTTCAGGGGAGACAGATACCACACCAGTGTGATGTGGTCAGAGTTCAGTCAAGGAGGCAGTCAAAGCCACCATTTGGGTTTCCTAGCCTGGTTTACTCACTAATCTGCTCACTTTGAACAACTGTTATACTTGCTGTTTTTCTAATTGCTACATAAGCTCTTCACTCATCTCAAATGATAAAGAAAAAAAGAGAACAAAACAAAAAGTCCAGAACAATTTGTCTAAGAACCTTGGCATAAACAATTTCTCCAGATAGAGCTGCCAAGGGTCTGCTGGGGACAGAGTAGAGACCTATGCAATTCATGAGTTCTCACTATACAAGGAGTAGACTGATCACAGTTTTGTCAGAATAATGATAAGAATTTTATTCGACATTTTGAGTTTAAAAGTCTTTGATTTTACAAATAAAACTGTCAAGTATTTCCTGATGATAAAATGTCAGCTTCAAATATTGGGGAGACATAATTCAAAAGTCAATAATCAGCTATATTAGATTTCACAACACAAAACTTCATAACATATTGACTTTACATTTGCTAAAATGTCCTTATCAGAAATTCCTGAGTTTCCTATGATCTCTCTCCCATCTAATTTCTCTTTACATGGTCGATTTCCTTTTTTCTCTTTCTGCCTTTTTTTTTCTTTTTAAATCCTTCCCACCACCTTCAATCTCATTTCCTAACATCCTTTCCATGAAATCCTAAATTTCGTCTAATTGCTAAGTCTACCTAATCTTACAGACTTACAAAGTACTGTACTTAGGAGGGGAAAACATTACATAGGTAAGTTGGCCAGAAGCCACAAAATTTTTTTAAAGAAAAAAGAAAAACAAAAAAACAGAAGTGAAAAACCTTAGCAAATATGGAGCTACTTTCCATGGTAAAGACATTTGGCAAGGGCCAGCCAGGAAAGGAAAGGCAGCCCATCAAGATAACCACTTACAGGAAAGGCTCTCTGTTGAATCATCGAAGCCCCAGTATTGACTTAATAACACAGCAGCAATGGAAAGGTACCTGGCCGCTGAGGCAGGTACTCAGGGAGAGGATGGAGGCAAGTTTCTTCTGTTGGCAGAAAAGCTGAAAAGGCAGCTCTGTACCCTAGATGCATGCCACCAGAGACCAAGCCCAGCTGCTCAGGTGACAGAGGAAATGGGTTCTTGGCAAGCCAACTGCTGCTGGGTGTGTGGTGGGGGCAAAGTTCCCAGGCTGGCAGCTCAGAAGACATGTGAAACACACGTGTGCTGTATGGAGCAAAAACAAACCACAGGAAGCAGAAGTCCTAACTCTCAGAATTTCCATCCTAGATACATAGGCTTTAACTGGAACTATATAGGCTTTAATCATTGTAGGGACAAATGTCTAGGTAAGAAATCTAGAGACCTCAAATTCTGGCTCTGATCCCTCCCAGCTGTGCAGTTTGGGGAAATGTACTTCTTTCCTCCGTGATCTTGGTTTCCTGATAAATGGTCTATCTGATGGGATTGCTAAATGGGAGAATGGGTGTTAATGGGCTTTGATAAATTTAAACAATTGTACAAACGTAAAGTGTGATTATTGTCTTATTAATTAGCTGGATCCATTCACCTATATACCAAACCCCAACGGAGGGCTGTCTGCACAGTATGAACTAGGTCAGATGATAGAAGAAAACAGAACAAAGACAGGAAGGAAACCCATTAAAATGTTATAAGTGGTTATTTGAGGTGGGATGGGGGTAGTGAGGAGAGATTATGGCTGTTTTAACTTTATGTGTTTTCCAAGTTTTTACAATAAGCATATATTTTTAAATGAAAATAAGACAGGATACTTCTCAACAGAGAAGGTAATACCTTCCTTCTTAATACGTAAAATTCAAAAACAGAGGAGCTAAAGAAAAGAAAAAAGAAATGGCATGCCCTGAAATAAAATAAACGGTAGTTTCCAAACTTTCTACCACATTCTTTGGCTGCCAGAAGGATTTAATTTGAGGGGGGAAAGAACCCTGATTCCTGCTTTACATGGGTTCTTTATTATGCCTATTAAAAATGGCATTTCCCAATGTTTCAAACAGTCTGGAGCTAGTTCATCCTCTCCGGCGTGCATGTACCACATTTGGGTGGGGCTTCATTAATATTTAGTGCTATATTGCAAATGACATAGGAAGCTGGTTCTTTTTTTTCTTTGTTTTCCTGTAGGACTAGAGTTTGAACTCAGGGTTTTGTGCTTGTGAAGTATGCACTCTACTGATTAAGCCACAACTCCAGTCCATTTTGCTGTGGTTATTTTGAGATGGGGTCTCCTGAACTACTTACCTGGGCTAGCCTCAAACCTTGATCCTCCAGATCTCAGCTTCTGAAGTAGCTGGGATTACAGGTGTGAGCCATCAGTGCCTGGCTGGTTCTTAAAATATAAATCAGGAGAGGTGTCAAGTACCTTGAAGCATTTTTGCACATTGATGAAGAGGATTCTGAATTAATTCCGTAACTAACATCCTAAATTTCAGAGTAACTTCACTGTCTTTGACACACCTAGGATAAGCAAGAGAAAAATCAGAATCTACTCCTTGACACATTTTTTTGGAGGCATTGGGGTTTGAACTCAGGGCCTTTCGCTTGTTAGGTGGGTGCCCTACCACTTGAGCCATGCCCTCTATGCTTTTTTTTTTTTTTTGAGATAGGGTCTTAATTTATACAGGGGGCAGCCTGGATCAAGATCCTCCTACTTAAACCACCTGCATAGCCAGGATGACAGATATGCACCACCATGTCCAGCTTTTTTTTGTTGAGATGGGGGTCTCACAAACTTTCTCTGCCTCAAACTGTAATCCTCCAGATCTATACCTCCTGAATAGCTAGGATTACAGGTATGAGCCACCTCACCCAAGTCTCCTTGTCACAATCTTATTTCATCCTGAGTTCTAATACATTAAGCTATTTGTAAAGTCCCACTGTCATCAACTCTCCTCTATAAACACATTTGCTAAGTCTCCCTCTTTTTTACCCAAATCACTGATGTTGAGGCAGAGAAGTTGGGCCAGAAAGGATGGTGCTCCACCTTTATGCCCACCTACCATCCTACACTTGCTAAGGTCCCTTGTTTGAGCAGCTGGAAGCAGATCCTCTATTCTATTCCAGATGACACCATTATCCTGCTGAGACTTCCACAACCTACCTGCAATGGACAGTATCTTTGAGAAAAAGCAAGATACAACATCAAGTTATCACCAACAAAGGGTTTTGTTATTACCCATTCTGTACAGTGTCAGGCTCTGGAGATATAAAAATAGAATACATGAGTTTTGCAAGCAAGAAGTTTATAATCAGATAGAAGAGCTGGGAATTGTGCCTTTGTCATCATGTAGCATTAAAAAAATAGCAAACCATATACTCCAAGCATATACTAGTGTCTGCTTTAAGATGACAACAAACCAAACTAGAATTTGCCTACCCAGCTCTGTACCCCCACCCTTCTTGTATTATTTTGGTTTACTTTAACAAACCTGGCTGCTTGTACTTTCCAGCCATTCACTAGTTGACATTTGAAATGTGACTCTTGCCTCACTCAGTATTCCAGAACTAGGTCCTCTGAAGTCCCTGGAAATCTCATAGTAGTGAAATACATGTTTTTTCCCCTGAATGCTGGCAGACACTATACTTGACCAACTCTAGCACATACAGCTCAAAGCACATCCCTGGGATGGCCCATTTGAAATGCCTTCCTGAGAAGCTCATGACTGCCAAAATGTTGTAGACAAAACCCAGAACAGAACGGGCAGTTGTTTTAGAAAGCTGCAGCTGTAAGTCCTTTCTCTGCCCCACATTCTAACCACTCAGAGCTATCTTCCTTCTTTTTGAAATGCAAAAATTCAAAGAGATAATTTTCACTTCCAGCCTCTGTGGGAGGGTCTCACCCCAGGACACCTTGCTGTAACTCATCTTTGCTTCTCTGCCTGATAAGCACCAATGAATAAATTTAATGAACAAATTCCTTGCATGCCTTTCTCAAGTCCTCTACCATTTTGTGTCCCTAGAACCTGATGAATATTGCAGAGTAGTGGGTATGAACTAAACCCTTTGGTGATGCTGTGGTGTTGCATTTGCTTTCATTGAAAACAATGCTCTCCAATGAGATCCTTGTAGAAAAATTATAGAGGCCTAAGAAGGACAATAGTATCATCTCGATAAGCTCCAATTTAAAAGGCCCATGTGACATAGCACACAGACAGACCCTTCAATATGTCTTTCCTCAGCATACTCCAGTCTTTTAAAAAGTCTTCTGCCTTTTCTTCCCATGAAATTGAATTTGGGTCACACTGGACCCTCTTCCATATAGCAATTGTCATTGCTGAGGAATATCTGTCCTTACTGCTTTAACTAGTGTCCAGCTTTGTGTATCTTTGACAATGTCC